AGCAATTTGGGGCACCTGGGTGAGTCAGTCAGTTAAGCATCTGACTTTGGCTCAGGTCATGATCTCGAGGTTTATGAGTTCAAGCCCCGCATCAGGCTCTGTGCTGACAGCTTAGAGCCTGGAGCCTGCTTCGAATTCTGTGTTTCCCTCTCTCTCTGCTCCTCCCCCGCTCATGCTCTCTCTCTCTCCTTCAAAAATAAATAAAAACATTAACTTTTTTAAAAAAAAGTCTACAAGCAATTAAAACAACAGTAGCATCCTGACTTGGGAACAAGGAGAATATCTGAATGCTAAATATTTCCAAGGAAACAGTGTTTGATTTTATTGAAGACAAACACAGCTCATGTACTAATGCAGGCAATAGTTTCCCTTAACCTTTTCTTTTTAAAGATAAGAAATCTATTCCCAGGATTAATATTTCTCTTCTTTTATTCTTGGGAAGATATATGCTGGAGGATAGTAATCTATTTACCTTTTGTTATGCATACAAAGAGCCACGCCCATATATACAATCAATGTCTACATACAAACATACACTTGATTCACATATTCGACTTTGTTTAAATATCTGTAGCATCTAAATACTTGCTCTTTTCATATCCCACGCCCTCCACACTCACCCTCTCCACAATCTATTCATTTTCTATTGTTCTGATCAGGTGATAGGGATGAAACTTTTACATTTACCTATTAAATATTATTCTTTTTGAACACACCAATTAAAGTTGTAGAGAAAGCCACTGCTATGAAGGCCTAAGAGAAACTAAGGCCAAAGCTGCTTTCCCTACAAAGGCTTTGGTTGGGAATGGGATGGTAGCAACTTCAATACAAAGAAAGTCCCAGGCAGAGGCACCAACATCCCCTGAATTTTAATGAAAATGTTATGTAAATGCTATAACAAGGTTAATAAAGAGGTCATCATAAAAGCCAAATAAGCCTTAGTTATATTTTAAGAGAAAGAAAAGAGGCGGTAAAGGAAACAAATCTCTCAAATATGTATAAAATATATTTATCAATAATACATAGTAAAAATATTGATAGTACCGGTGTCTAGATCTATAAACTTATATAAGTATCTTCTAAAACATCTGTTTATGGCCCTGTCAAAACTTTAGAGTACATTGCTAGTTGGTTTCTGTGTACTTTAATGAGAAAAGCTATAACATTTTAAACAATTCAAAATTCATATAGGATATTGAAATAGAAAGAGGTTAGTTGGTATGAACAGAAAGAGAACCAACAAGTTTAAGACTATATGTTTTGTGATTGTAGGTACATGTCTATGAAATCAGTATTATTTATGGAGATATGCCAATGGGCATACAAAGAACATGTAGTATATTTCATACACAACACTGGCATGTGCATTGTGCACGGTGCAGCTGTAAATAATCAGGCAATCGAAAAAATGCAGGATATTACATGCGATAATTATTACTTATTAAAGTGATTAAATAATTTTTCTTTGTCTAACAAGAAACATTTCAGAACATGAGTTGAGAATGGTTTGGCTGTTGGAGAGTTGTAGTTAAACGTCTTGCCTATTGCTTGATAAAAATCTACGAAAACAAAAAGTTGGATAAGTCTTGGATACAAGACTGTTGTCTTGTAGACAAAAGTTGGATACGTACAAAATCGTAAAATACAACTGCTTCTGATTTAGTAAATTACTCCTCGGCCATTACTCTGCTACAGATAATTGTCCCTTATTTTATGGAGGGCCTTGTGGCAAAATAATAGAGGTGAAGTGGTATATGGGAGTGGGAAGAAGAGTAATAAATTGAACTTTTCTTCCAAATGTCTCTGTGTAATGATTTTTTCTTTCCCCAAAGTCATATAGGAATGAATAGAATTCATCATTAGCGGGCAACACTAAGTGGACAACAGTTTATCGGAGTTTCTGAGCCCAAAGGGAACCTTAAGAAGGAGAGCACTTCTTACATTTAGTCATCTTTTCATCCTTCATCAGCTGAATGAGAGATCATCTACCAGAAGGTAATGGTCCCTGACCAGAAGAGGGGTGGTTGCATGGAAGCAAGATGAAAGCCTCAGCGAAGGTCTGGGTCCAGTTTCAGGAGGGGCTGTTTTAGAGAAAGGTCTGTCTGCTGGACTAGAGACAGATACTCCATTCAGAGAACATTAACAATATTGCAAGTCCTGAAATAACCCCCCTATCCCGCTGGGTTTCCCCAGGCCATTTCCCACCATTTGGGGTGTGTTTTGCTTGAGCATGGGCATGTGCAAGATAACAGGCCACGCTGTGAGTGTATGAAAGGCTAAAAGTCAGAGTGAGAGAATCAAGAATCAAAACAATGACTAATGATTTCTAACCTTAAGCAGAGCAGATGCAGTGCTCACCAGAAATGTGTCTCTATTTAAATGCTTCACTTCACACACCACACAATAAAGAAAGGAAGAAAGAAAGAAAAAACAACGATTTTTTTGGAAAAATGTTTTATTTAAATGTTTTATTTTAAATCTTTTATGACAATAAAATATTGCGTCAATATAAACCCCTCGACTAAAACTGTTCACATCAAACATTACAGGGAATTGTTTTCTTTTTGACACCCGACTCATCTTTGAGTTTTCTTTTAAACATAATGCAGAATTTATTGAAAATAAATAATTGCTGGCAACTGCAATAGGCAATTTGAATAAAATAGTTGAAAAAGCAACTCTTAATGAAAATAGTGTTTATTATACATCAGTCACTAAATGAATAAACTAAATGATCTTTCTTTAAATTAATCACTTCAAAAACGTTTAATATACAAAACTGTACAGTTATAAAGTCGGCAGAAATATTTGGGTTAACTCAGGTTTGAACCAGAGCGCTTAACTGAGAAGAAAAAAAAAAAAATTCAAACCAAAAAACCCTAACAGTTGTAAAACACGAACTCAGTGAGGGAAAACAAAACAAACAAAAAAATTCCAGAACGAAAACCCATCTACCAACAGAATGCAGAGGCTTCACAAAAAAGAAAATGGGTCCGGGATTTGAATTAACACATGTTCTTCAACCTGCAGCTGAAGGAGACACAGTGAGGTGGACCAGAGGCCTGGAAGCCCATACTAGCGCATCCTCCACAAGGAGTCCTGGGCTTTTTGGTCTTTAGGTAGTTTGAGGCTTTGTCTGCCAAAGCTGCACCTGAAGGCCAGGCCAGGCGGGCAGCCTAGGCATGCGGAGCCCCCAGCCAGGTCCCGCGGACTGTGTCTGGGTGTTGGGTGCTTGGCCGGCCCTGCACATGTGTGCTCATTAAGAATGAGGTGCCCTGTGGACCTGGCGTGTAGACAGGAGAGCTAGCAATAAAGCCAGAACAACTGTATATTTTTTGGATTTCTACACAGCCTAGAGAGATTTTATGTAGTTTTCGTTTTTGTAAATAGTAATAGGATACACGCATCTATCTACTCACACATTTCCACGCGCAGTCATGCACACACAGATTAAAAAACAGAAACAAACAAACAAACAAACAAACAAAAACCCAGAAACCGAGCCGCCAGGGCGCTCGCTATCTAGCTTAATCATCGCTGTGGGCTTCTACCAGCTGTGCTTGTCTGGGACGCGGAGACAGCTTCCCGTGAAACCACTCTGAGACAGCGGTATGTATACACCGGAGAGGAGGTGGTACGAAGCTAGACCAGAATCCCTATGACCTTTGCCAATCATTTCCTTGTCGTTCTGCACGGAGCAGAGAGCACCTGTCCACCACCCCACTTGCCATCCCTCCCCGATGCAGGTAGTGAACTGAAGGTGAACTGAATTGGGAGGCACTCAGTGAGTCTGTCGTCGCCAGCGTCTCGGGATAGTCGTCTCCAGCGAAAGCAAATATATGTGAATACAAAGTCCTTCGCCTACAAAGGCCAAGGTGGAGTCGCGCTAGTGGTCCTGGTGAGGCATGGGGCCCTTAGGGAGTTCTGAGTGAAGGCATTCCGGACTTCAGTAGGTGCGCAGGTCTCTTAGCACCGCAGGCTGATCTCTTTTGCCGGGTGCCACAGCCAAATCCTTTTATGGCACCCGGATCTGCGCTGTAGAAGCCTGCGAGGGCTCCACAGATCCGAGAGGGAGGGCAGAAAGCTTCAACATCGCCTCTCCTACTTCGCTGTGGTTTGCAAACCCAATAGGCTTGCCTATTCTGCCTATCCCAGGCATTGTGCCCTCCGAAAAATTACACATATATCTCCAATACCATCATCAACAACTCTCTCCATTGTACCTCTTCTCTCCATGCAGATTTAGGATAGGGGGTGGATGGACGGGTGGACATCTCTTCCCCTCCTCCTTCCAGTCCCCCTGCCTTTTTTAAGCAATTAGAAAACCATCAGCTCAATGAAGGAATAATAATAATAGCAACAATAATGTGGAGTGGCCGATTAGATACAAATTATCTCACAAATATTGTGTACAGCTTGTAGTAAAACACCGCAGACATTTAGAAACGCTATAGAAGTTTTAAAAAATGCAAAACTAGTCTATTGTAAAACAGATTTCACCTGAAATACAGCTGCTATAACCAAGGCGCTGAAAGGTTATTCAGAGGCACACATCTGTTTTCCCACCCCCCCTTCCCCATCCCTACCCCACCCCCACGTTACCCCACTCCTTGTTCATTAAAGAGAGGAGCAACCAAACAAACCTTACTCAAAGTAAACAATATGTTTTGATCAGCAGAAAAGGTTGGAGGAAACAGTCGCCCTGGCGGCAGGGTATGTGAGGTCCCCTCCTGAACTGCTTAACACTACTGTATATCAGTCTTGAGAAGCTGGAATGCGTGTGTGAGTGTGTTTCCTTTCTTAGTATAAGTTAGAATCCCCTATTGAGAAAAAAAAAAGGAAGAAAAAAGATGAGAGACTGAAGAGCCCTATCTGTATATCTAGCTATTGCTATCTCTCTAGATAGCAATAATAAAGCTGAAGTGAAAGGAAGAGAGTGGGAGAGAAAGAGAAATGCGCGCTGCTCCCAGTGCGGCCGGCCGCTTCCTTGCTTCCTGCAGTCAGAGATCGTGGCAGGACGTGTCTGTTTTCACGGTGTGTGAATAAACCTCATGCGGCTGCTGATCCCCTGGTGGAGTCATTCTTTTCTCTTTCTGTCTTCGATTACAAAACCAGACACGCACCACTTCTTTCTCCAACTGGAGGCTGTCTGCCAGCGAGGAAATCTCCTGCGCGGCAGGCTTGGGACACTTGAGGAAATGCGTTTCCAGTACGCCCTTGACACTCACCTCGATGGAGGTTCGCTTCTTGCGCTTGCGGCCCTGAGCAGCGATTTTGTCAATGCTGGTCGGGCTCCCAGTGGACGAATCAGCCTCCTCCAGCCACTTGTTCAGCAGCGGCTTCAGCTTGCACATGTTCTTGAAGCTCAGCTGCAAGGCCTCGAACCTGCAGATAGTGGTCTGTGAGAAAACGTTGCCGTACAGTGTGCCTAGCGCTAGCCCCACGTCGGCCTGCGTGAAGCCCAATTTGATTCTTCTTTGTTTGAACTGTTTGGCGAACTGTTCTAACTCATCCGAGGTTGGTGTCTCCTCGTCCGAGTGGTCCTGGCAGTGGTGCGAGCCTAGATCGCTGTGGTCTGGGGGATCCCGGAGCACCGGGTGTAGGCTCTGTGCGGAGGCGGAGGCCGGCGGTGGAGTGAGCCCTCCGTGCTCCAGCATGCCGCTCACAGTGAAGCCCGACTGGGAGTACACGTTAAGGGGTTGGCCGCTTGACGTGATGGACGGGTTCGGAGCCGGATTAGCCCCCCAGGCATTCGGATGGTTAGTGTGCGGAGAGTGGTGGGCGACGTGCGGTGAGCGGTGATGGATGATCGCACCCAGCTGTAGGTCTTCGCGTCCGGGCTTCACGTCCTGCTGGTCCAGAGGGTTGACGGCCAGTGTGGAAGACCATGGGCCTCCATCGCCCAGACTGGTCACCCAATGATGCCCAAGAGGATGCCCATTGCTAGGAACTCCCTGCAAGTAATCACTTTGGACAAGTTTCTGAGGGTTTCGGAAAGGACTCCCCTGCTGCATCCCTGCAGAGTCCGCGTGGACTAGGGAGCTAGAACTGAGAATGCTGTAGGGATTCGAGGCAGCTGTGGCCATGGTCGGTGAGGATCCCCTACTAGTTATAATGTGGCAAAGGGAGCAGCTTCAGCCTTTGACATCTATGGTTGGGGGGGAGCCAAAGCCGCAAGAGCGAGTTACCGGCACATGTGGTGACCAATTGCAGCACATCTCGGCCTGGCCAGCCACGGGCTTGGCCAATGGCCGCACGGGAGGCTGGGCTAACTTTCCAAATTAGGCTGGCGAAGCTTTAGAGTTTCAGTGAGATCTGAGCAGGAAGTAAATCAATCTTTGGGCTCCATTGGTTGCCTGGCGCTGAGTGGCAGCAGCTCATTTGATTAACCCTTTCCCCCTCCCTCCCACCTCGGACTTCATGGACATTTGTAGGAGAGGGGGAAGTATCAAAGGGGAGTGTGTTTGTGCGTGTTTGGGGGGTTGGGGGAGATGGATAGGGGTTGAAGTAGAAAACTGGTTTTAGAATTCCTTTTGTATTATTTAGATTAATAGAAATCGTGAGAAAAATATTATATATATATATATACATATATAGTAAAATAGTATATATATATGTAAATATTAGTATTTATATATATACTAAGAAAGCAATATAACCAGGTGAAATGTCATCTAGATTTTAATAGATTGTTTTTTTTTTTTTAAATCAAATTCATTTAACATCCTGGGTTAGTTGTGTGCAGGGGACTGCAAACCAAAATCTTCCTACAAACTTTGAGCAAAGGGAATTAAGAACTACTTTGACTTGTTTTATTTATTTCACTTTATCATTTATGAGAAACTTGATACCAAGTTCAGAAAGCATCTAAGAAAGAGATGCCCAGCTTCTTCTGAAAATTTTGATTTAAGGCATGAAGAACTGGAAGATTTTGGGAAAATCTAATGTGATAAAAGTAAAATCTAATGTGATACTGGCAAAATTCATTTATTTTGAGGTTGGTCAATTGGATGACTTGCTTTTTATTACTACTCCATGTCAGCTCCCAACAGGGATCCCACAACTTCTTTCAGAGGCATTGCTTGCTGAAATGGGCAGCCATCCCTCACACTCACCTCAAACACTCAAGGGACCAACTCTCATTAGGTCCATAGGGAAATGTTCTTGACTAAGGCACCTGATGTTCCCTAGTAAAATTGTTGTTAACAGGCACTGCTCCCCCTCCCACTCCCGCTCCCAAACAAGCTGAAGTAAATAGGAATCCTTTAGTGTACCCTGAAAATTCAGAGAGAGAGAGACAGAGAGAGAGAGAGAGAGAGAGAGAGAGGAGTGATAGCAGGCTGTTTGGCATTAAGTACCGCTCCCCCAACACACATCCCTATCAGCTTGAAAGTGCTTTCAGCTTGGGAGGACAGGACTGTTTTCACATTTTGGTTAGAGGAAACAAGGACAAGAAAGACTTGTACTCCTATGCATTTTATAAGTTAGGGGAAGGCAAGTCCCACTACTCCACAGCCTTGCTCAAAGGCGTTGCTTGTAAGCTGAATGCAAAGATTTTAGATTTGCTCTAGCTGAGAAAAGGCAACACGGGATACCCAGCTGGATTTCTGAATTATAAAAAAATGACCTTCCATTGCATAATTTTGAAGGTAACCTAGCTGCATAATTATATTTGAACTTACAGAAGACAGCATCAGAGTTCCTTTATTGGTTTGAAATTCCATTAAATATATTGCAAGAGCTACTAGGTTTAGCTTGATTTAAATTTGCATACATTTTCATATATTTAGCAGAAATAAAAGGAGGCTTGCAGCTACCAGAAAGTCATTAAGGCATTAGTGTCTCTAAGAAGACAGATCTGAAGAAAATGCAAGAAAATGAGAAAAAAAAATAAAAACAAGGTGAGCTATTCTGCCATTACTTTATATAGATAAACAGCATCTATTTCCTGTGAAATGAGTAATTTCTCATGAGAGCAGATAGCGACAGGAGTTTATATTGGTAAATGTAAATTGTGTCTATTAAGCAGGAAAACCTGGGGTCTGGTTGAGATCTATTTCTTTCTTTCTCTCTCTTTAAAAAAAAAAAAAAGGATAACCACTTAGCAGTTATTGGTAGAGATGATAATTTGCCATCTTCTCCCCCTCTTCCTTCTCACTGAAATTGTGGTTTCCTTTACTGGTGTCCTGTTGTAAACGTTTATCTGCTTTTAATCTAGAAATGTATTTTTCCTTTCCCTCTCTTCCTCTGCCCCCCCTTCTCTTCTCTTCTCTTCTCTTCTCTTCTCTTCTCTTCTCTTCTCTTCTCTTCTTCTCTTCTCTCCTCTTCTTTTCTCTTCTCCTCCTCTCTTCTCTTCAATAACCTCTTTTCTTTACTACCAACTAACTGTGTGTATCTTACTTTGTAAGAATACAATCTCATTTGTACCTGAACTTTTGCTTCCTGAAGAAAAAAAGTACTTGTTAAAATCAAACAAAAATAAAAGTTTTAAGGTAATCTGTTAGGCTGTCTGTTTAAGGATCCATTGACTACTTTACGTTATGTCAGTTTAGAGGTCAGAGGGAAACGCAACGAAAAAAAACATACAAGAAAAAGATAATGATCATTGCCATGTTGTTGTAATGGTGGGTTCCCCCACCCCCACCATCACAGCTGCATTTGGGTGAAGACTTACTAATCTTAGTCTGGTCATTCAGGGGGTTAAGGTAATTATCAATTTAGAAGGCTTTTGCATGGACAAAAAAGGGGTTCCCTTTCCAATTCTGACTTGCATGAATTCTTATAATCAACCTTGCTCTAGCCCTTGCCCTCTACTCTGGGCAACCAATTTTTCCAGGCAAGCAAAAGGGGTTCAGACCATGCCCAGAGGCTGGGGAGGGGGCCGCTGTCACGGGAGAGGTAACTGTGCCCGGTGATAGGTTTCTCACACTTTTGTGCTGTGGTCTTTTAATGTAAGAATGGCTTCTGACAGGAGCAAAAACCAACATAGTCATCTTCCTTTTTTCTTTCTTTACCTTGTCATTTTTTTCTTCTTTCCCTTCTTCCCTCCCTCTTTCCTTCCTTCCTTCCTTCCTTCCTTCCTTCCTTCCTTCCTTCCTTCGTTATTAAAAATTAGTTCCCATGAATATGGATACTGCCTAATTCAGGTGCAGTCCCATCCTCTAGCAGCTGTGATAGAATTTTCTCTTGCATGTAAGATGTTTTGTTTTCTGAGGGAAATATCTGCATATAGTAAAATCTTCTTGCTGCTCTGACTAATCTACTGGAGAGGTTTTCTTCGCCCTCTCCTGTCAGTCTAACTTCCCAAGTGTAACAGATGCCGCTCTCAAGCGCTCCTTTCTGTGGCTTCTCTTTATTCGGCCTTGCATATTTCTCCCCATGATCTGGGTTTCCATAGAGAGAGGAATAAAAGGGGGGACCGTGGTCACAAATCCCCTGCCCCATGCAAAATAAAAGAGCCTCATTCAATAGACGACCCTGTCTGGACATGGGAGAGAAATAAGTACATGTGAAGCTACTGTTGCAAACAGCTGGTAACTTATTTTTCATAGATTTATTTTACCTTAAACTCAAAGTTACCACTGGTAACCTGGTCTCTTGGGTGGTTGGGCTAAATACACAGCTTGGAATTCTTTTCATCCTGATCTTGTCCATTAACAGGTCCTCAGATCTAATTTACCCCACTCCCTCTATGGCTATGGTTTGAAAATAATAATAGTTGCTCCAACCCTAGCAGGTTGGGATAGCTAAAACTCATCTTGGAGAGGAACCCAAGTTAGAAGTGGAGGAATTGTAATTTTATCGAGTCCACACACCTGCCTCCAGCAAGGTAGAACAGGTTTCAACCTCTTGCTAGAGCAGCACACAGCACAACCTTCATTCCTTCTTAGGTTACCTTCATATCCAAATTTGCCACTCCACCATACCAATCACTTTGCTTGTTTTCTAAGAGGGAAATTTCATTAATTGCTGAAAACGTGTCAGATTGGTTTGATTTATTTGTATGTTTATTCATTTATTTGTAACCTGGGGTTTCACTGTGACTCTCATTCCTCACAATTTTAAAGATACATAACGACACCTTAGTGTTTCCCCAGACATTCCCAGCCCCTTTGAAAGCAAGGAAGCACTCACAAAAGAAATTAAGCAGATTAATGTGGTTCAAATTGCACTTCTATGGAAGCATAGGAGTTTGGTTGCAGCTGGGCAGTCTTTTTCTTGGTGTCTGTACTTTGGGTTCATTAGAGGTTCTCGGTGAGTCATAACTGCTCTTCAGAGCACCGGCCTACTGTAGCTCCTCTTACAGTAGTTGTTCCTCCTCTTCCTCCTCTTCTTCTTCTTCTTCTTCTTCTTCATAAACTGTGTGGTGGAAGGTAAAGGGGCTCATAATATTCTGGGAGAGAATCTTTAAAAAATTAGATAACATTAGCAGATATTAGCCAATACCAATTCAAGCTCAATTAGTTAAATTTTTAGAACTCTGTTGGCTTTCCTTGAACATGAGGAAAAGGATATTTAGAGTAAAGGGGAGGGGGAGGAGAGATAGCATACAATGAATGTTGCAGCAGACACAGGGTAATTTAAAAATTAAAATATCCATCATGAAAAAAATTTAATACATATACCTCAATCTTCGAGAGCACAAGACATTTACTAGCAAAATCTATTGTCAGTTGGGAAGTGCTGAGGAATTGTGTAGTTGGGGCTGTGGATAGGATGGTTAGAGGAAAGACAGGGACAATAGAGACCCTCATGGACAAATGGAAAGGGTGCTGGCTCCCACAGCTGTGTTGTCAAGGTCGCATTGATTCAGTCTCAGTTTCTCTTCTGAGGTCAATTCTTCCCTTGCCATTGCCATTGTCAGTGGGTGAACCCTGATCTTGCAGGGTCCCAGGGAAAGAGCTCTACAGAGACAGAACTATTGTGCAGTACTCTGTATGGTTCTCATATTCCCGGCACCAGGATTTGGGGTATCTAGGAATCATTGTGGGTATTTTGCTGTTGTTTGTTTTGCACTTTAGACAGAGACTAGTTTCGAAGAGTCCAGTTGATGATTTTACAAAACATAGATCCCATGTGAAATTAG